CCGGCTGGGCCAGCTCTCTCCCGCTGTGCTTGGTGCCTGTGTTGGTCACACTCAGAATGGCCTTATCGAAGCAAGAGGCATCAGCAGGCTCATGGTGGCCAGCTGCCTGACAATTCTCTAGCTAAGGGACCCAGCCTGGGCGGCAGCCACCACCACATCCTGCGAGAGATGGCAGCTCGGATCATGGCGCAGTCCCATCCCCGAAGCTCGCGGCAGGTGCTACCGCCGCAGATCGTGCCCACGGACGTGATGCACACGGACTATGCACAGGTGGCCACCTGCCGCACCACTTCCTACCCCAGCTCTCTCAGGCTTCGTGCACCACAAAGTGGTTCCCCCCAGTAGCACTGCGGACCCTTGTTCTAATAAAAGGCACCCTCTGTGCCTCCTCTGACCCCGAGGTGTGCTTTTCTCTACAGTGGGCGTCATCCTGATTGTGAGCCACGGCTCGGCGCTGGACTCCTGCACTCGCCCGCTCCTTGGGCTGCCACCCCGGGACAGTGGAGACTTCGCCCAGGTGGTGAGAAAGGTACGTGCCGGCCCCTTTCTCTTTGGGCCATGAAGTCAAGCCCCCAGAGCCCACAGGGTCATCATATTTCCTTCTCAGAATGAAAACAGGTGTCCAGCCCACCCAGGGCAGCAGGGACCACCCCACTCGCCCCATCTCCTGAGAATGTGTGCACCTGCTCTTATACAAAGGGCAGCCCTGGGTGGGGGGGCTGACGGGAGCAGCTTATCATCTTTTATCATCATTATGGCAACTTTGGCCATTTGCTGCCCAGATTACTATTATTATATATTATTATTATTACAAAAAAGTAAGATATGGTTATCCCCTGCAGCTCCAGTAGTTGAACAAATGGTCCAGTGGGGAGTAAACCCTGTGGACACAAAGAGAAAGAGCAAAGGCTGGCCTGGCTTGCTCTGGAGACCCGGGGGCAGGGGGCTGGAGGACAGAAAGGAACCCCCACCCTCTTGCCTTTCGAGTCAGCCCACCATGGAACACACAAGACTTGCGGTAGCCTGAGTGCCTGGGGTTGGGCTGGAGCTCTGCAAACACTTACAGGTAACCACCATGTAGAGAAGGACAGTGGGTACTTTGCAACAACCCGTTGACCATCACCCAATAACCCAGAGGCGGCTTTATCCATCAGTGAGGTGAATCAAGGCGGGGAAACTAGGGGCTCAGACCCACCCCCTGTTCCTGCCCCGAAAATCTACTCAGGGCCAGATTTGCCCCCCCCGTCCTTGTCCTTTTTATCAGATTGATCAGTTGACCGATGACCTTGAGGCTGGGAGTGCAGTGCTATAGACAACACCTGTGATGGGAGATGGGTCCCTGAGTTGTCTCCTTGGTGCAAAATTGTCACAGGACCACGAGTGGCCAAAGTCTGTTTACAGAGGAGCAGACCCCAGGCCCCGACCAGCCAACACCAGCTCGGAGCCTGGGCAAGGTCCTTGGCTTTCAGAGCCCCGCCCTGCCTGCCGCAGAAGGCCAGGTCCTCCCTCACGTGGGGGCGAGTCAGAGAGCAATACCTGCGTGCGCCTTCTCTCTTCTCGTTCAGTGTCCTCTGGACCTGAGTGGAAGCATGCATCCCCTCCCAAGTGTCTCCAAGGTGGGGTTTCCCAACTGCGACCCAGATGTTCCCAAGCCCTCTGGGTCCTGGGCCACCGGTTGACTGCTATCTGAATATAGGGCTCGAGCCTCCAGGCCATGCTGGATGACGATGGATTTTTCTGGGGGTTCTCCTGGTGGCCCCCGCACCACCTGCTCCCCGAGCGTCACTCTTGCTGATGTCACTGTCTCCCTCTCATGTGCTCACGGGCTGCACGCTCCAGATCCTGCACCCCTTCCCAGGCTGTCCTGGGCTCCCGGTCATCCACACGTGCCAGCTGCAGACAGAATCGCAAATTTGGTGCTATCCCAAAACCCCACTGGTCTTCGCAGCCAGATTCCCACCCACTCCCCTGACTCTTGGCCTCCCCTTCTCACGATGCCAGCCTTGAACTTCCAAATTCCTGCGACTTTCTTATCCTGACAGTTTGGTGTCCACCTCGCCCCCTCTCCAAATGAGCTGGACTTGCCTGCACATATCAGACATTTACCAAGGGGCTCTGGGGAACCCCGGGCCTTCAAATCAGGGGCAGATGGAAAGAGACCGTTCACAGCCTTCCCTTTGCCCGCCACACCATGCTGCCCCCACACGCACACACACACGCCCACACATACGTAGGTACACACACATGCACGCATACACACACGCGCACAAAGATGCATACGTGTGCACATGCATGCATACGCCCCTGGACCCACATGCACACATACACACACACACGCAAAGTCTCTCTAAGCAGGAGAGAGTCGTCCTGAGTCACCACCAGCCTCCACAGGGATCCCCCTGCATGTTGGAATTTCTGCAAATTTTGTCTCACTGAGGAATTTCTCAGCATCAAAAGAGAGGGAAAAAAGGAAAGCAAAACATGCAAACAAACCCAAAAAAGCCTTAAAAACAAAAATCTACGCGAACGCTTTCACTTTGCAGTTGAAGTCATGGAGGTTCTAAAGTTTCACTTAGCGGTTTTTTCTGGGCTCTGCAGACAATACCAGTATCCCTTTGTGATGCTAAATTTGAGAATGCAAGTCAGTCCCCAAGCAGCACCCTGAGCTTTGCAGCCTGGACACTGCCGAGCTTCGGGCAGGGTGCTTCCGTGTTGGGGGGCACCATGCTCCTGAGCCCTGGAGGACATTAGCAGGATCCCCGGCCTCTGCCCCTGCCAACAGCACCCCGGTGTGACAACCCGTGGGAGGGGCACGGCCCCCGCCCCAGGACGGCTGTGTGGGACGTGGACGTGGGCATCGTGTTTAGGGCAGCAATGCCAGCGTGGGCCCATGGCGCCCGCCTCCCCGGCCCAGCAGGACCTGCCGGCTAGCTTTGGAGCGAATGTAAAATCGATTGACCTGGTATAAAATATTAATAAGTGATTGGAAACTCTGTCCTAGATTCCTTCTCTGGGCATGTGCTTCTGTGAGGAAAATAAAAAGGAAGGAAAATGGGAACTGGTGAATCCTCCCGTGAAGACGCTGACCCACGGCTCGAACTCGGCGTTTAACTGGCGGAACTGGCTCCCGGGCAGCTAGGAGCCGCGCTCACGCTCTGCTCGGCGCCGGGAAGAGGGGCATCCTCCGCTCCCCCGATGTGATTTGTAGATGCACGAAATGCACTTTTGGTTCGCCATCCGCTGTCGCCTTCCCAGCGGCCACCAGTGGACCGTTACCCTGTGAGTGCAGCCCTTGAGATGTGTGGACCTGCCGCGTGGCCGGAGGGAAGGAGCCACGGCGACCCACCACGGGGTCCTGGAAGGACGCACCCACTCTATGTGCTGTGTTCTGATGAATCACGTTCCCCGTCGTTTTCCTAGTTCTAGTCCAGTCACTTTTGGGCCATGTCCACACAGGCTGAAATGGGTATAATAGTGAATAAAATGCAACAAGAAACCACCGGCCAGCTCGAAGGCACGGAGCCGCGGCTCGGTGTCCACACCCTGGGTATGAGTTTCCCATCGTTGCCATAACAAGTCACCACGGAGCAGCAATTAGGGACAACACAAATTTTTAATCACACGTGCACAGATTAGTTCCGTTACAGCTCTGGGGGTCAGGATTTCTAAGACAGGTCAGCGGGCTGCATTCCTCCCAGAGGCTCTTGCAGAAGTGGCGGGGAGGGGTCTGTCCCCTTGCTTTCCCCGCTGAGGCCCCTGCCCTGCCAGCCTGCAGACAGCAGCGTCTTCAAGCCCCCCCGCCCCGTCCCACCGCTTCCACCACCACGTGGCCTTCTGCCTCGGACCCCGTCCCCATTTTGTAAGGTCTCTTGGGATTACAGAGGGCCCGCCTGATAGTCCAGGATGGTCTTTCATCTCAAGATCCACAACTTATTCCGTCTGCACGGTCCCCTTTGCCTTGTAAGGGACACAGTCACAGATCTGGGATTAGGATGTGGATGGCTTTGGGGACAATCTCCATCCCCCACACCCCACATATGGGGCTGCTTGTACCGGGGCCCCACTATGAGGATGTGACACACCCCACTCAGTGCAGACCTTCCCCAGCTTCTCCTTTTCTCCCTTTTGGTCAAGTGGAGGGGGAGGTGGCCTTGCAAATGGGGGGAGCATGTTCCGCCCGACTCACAGGAGAGACCCACCACCAGCACAGGGACTCCTGCCCAGATGCTGCCAATCCCGTGGTGCCTCTGACTCTCCAGCTGTTGGTCCAGGTGGGTGATGGGTGTCTCTCCCGTGGCGTCCTCGACCCAGCCCCCACTGGTCACACCTGTCCCGACGGCCAATGCCTTCAGCATCCCGAAGTCCCACGCTGGCACAGTGAACCCGACTGGCCTTCCTCCTCTCCCACCACGCTCCCGTTCCAGTGTTTGGGACCGTGGTTGACCCTGCCTTGCACAGAGCAAAGAGGGAGCTGGAGGGAAGAGCCAGCCCCACCCCCAGCTCTCCCCTGCTGTCTCCCAGGCGAAGCTGGGGACACAGTCCGTGGAGCTCTTGAGGAGCAGAGAGGGTGGACCCCGGAACCTGGACGGGGAACCAGCCACTCACAAAGAACACACAGGCCACACAAAAGGCTCTTCGCTGTGCAGTCCAACTGGGCCTCCCGAAGGAAAGATAAAAGTGTTTGTCCCTTGTTTTACTTTACTCGTGACGTTGTTTTTCTGTCTCCAAACATAAAGATGTTTGCAGGTGGTGCAGAACAGAGAGCAGAGGGCTTGGTGGTCCCAAGGTGTCTGGATTCGCCCTGTAGAGGGTGAGGCTGCTGGGTCACCTGCCCCTGGGTAATGAAGGGGAGGGCCTTCCTCCTTGCCGGGCTGCTGATGGGGGTTTGCAAGAGATGATGAGATGGGCTTGAACCTCAGATTTCAAGGCCAAAAGAGCAAGAAACTCCATTTTCTTTTTTTTTTTTTTTAAGATTTTTATTTATTTATTTGAGAGAGAGACAGAGAGATAGTGACAGAGAGAATAAGCGAGGGGGTGGGGGCAGAAGGAGAAGCAGGCTCCCTGCTGCAGGGAAACTCCATTTTCTTTTTCTTTTTTTTTTTTTAAGATTTTATTTATTTATTTGAGAGAGAGAGAATGAGAGAGAGAGAGAGAGCATGAGGGGGGGAGGGTCAGAGGGAGAAGCAGACTTCCCGCCGAGCAGGGAGCCCGATGCGGGACTCGATCCCAGGACTCCAGGATCATGACCTGAGCCGAAGGCAGTCGCTTAACTAACTGAGCCAGCCAGGCGCCCCAGGAAACTCCATTTTCTTTAAATTCTATAATTCTGGTTTTGACTAGCCCCCCATTCTGATGGCAGGAAAGCCCAGTTCCGACCCTTTTAGCTTCCAGAATGGGCCTCATTGTCAGGACGGGGGCCCTGAGAACAGAGCCACGCTGGAGAAAGGGAGGGATGGAAGTTTATCACGGATTGGTGCAAGTTTGCAATTCTACCAAGGAAGAAGCCGAGAAACAAAGAGATCCGTGAGCTCTCTGTGGGCTCCAGCATCTGTGTGTTTGTAAGCCGACAGTGACCCCTGCTGACGTCCTCTGGGAACGGCCTCCTGTTACCGCAGACCCCCACCCGGCCCACCCACCGCATCTCTGGTTTCCTCACGGGGGGTGGGGAGGGGGCTGCAAAAAACAGGCCTGGAAAGGAGCTCTCCACGCTTCTGCTGACTCCCCTCATGTGGCGGATAGTCCCTTGTGTTCACGAGCCCGTGGCGCGGTGAGGGAGACCCGACCCACCACCGGCTATTTCAGAAGATGGAAGGGGGGGCACGGCCTTGGGGCCGGGCAGCAAAGGATCGGGGAGCCTAAGTCTGGCCTGATGGGGAATCTGGAGCCTCCGAGGGACACGTGCGTGGTGACAGGTCTGGGGCCACTGGTCCCTGGCAAACACCCTCTGTTACCTGAGAAGAAACAGCCATCGTAATTTCCCACTGAAGCAAGTCTTATTTTAGAACCAAATTTGAGAATTTTTTTTTTAGATCTGGTCATGTTGATGAATTTCATGGGCTAAATCGTGTGCCCCCCAAATTCATAAGTTGAAGTCCAGACCTCCAGCACCTCAGAATGTAGCCTTATTTGGAGGTCGGGGCTCTAAAGAGGTGATAAGGTAAAGTGAGGTCGCTAGGGTGGTCCTGATGCAATCTGACCGGTGTTCCTATGAGATCAGGACACAGGCACAGAGGGCGACCGCGTGAGGAACAGAGAGGACCACATCCACGTGCCCGGGAGACAGGCCTCGGGAGGAGCCAGCCCACTCCACGCCTGGACACCGGACCTCCAGCCTCAGACTGTGAGAAGATACACTTCTGCGGTCCCTTGTCACAGCAGCCCTCGGACAACACAGTGCCCAGAAAACCTTGGTATAAACACCAAAAAATACAAACCCCTGAGCGGCTGAGCACCAGCCATGTCATGTAGCTTGGCACAAGGTGTGTGGTAAACGGCACCATCGACTGAGCCTGTTAGATACCCACCTCCATGCGCTTCCTCTCCCGACCTTTTTTTCCCCCTTTATTGTACTTATTTTTAAGCATTAAACATAAAAAAGTCTGGCTCCCTGTGGGCCAGCTAGGTCAGTGGGAGGGTTAAAGGCAAGAACACAGATCCCCAGGTGCCGTCCTGCTCCCCGCCTGGGAGAAGAGCATGGTTTCTATGCTCCCTGGGCTCGCGCCCACCCAGGTCATCCGGGAGCCACCAGGGGCTCGCAGGTGCTCAGGAAGGAGTCTGTGTGACACAGTCCCCAAGCTTCCCCGCAGAGCCCACTGCCTTTCTCAGCCCTCGAGTAAGGGGGCTTACTGGTGGCTTTGCCAACGCGCCCATCGGGAGGAAGACCAGGTATCCACCTGGGGCCACCCCCCAGTGCTCCCAGAGCCTCCCTCCTCTGCAGAGCCAAGCTGGGAAGGAGGGTGGTCTTCTCCACTCTGAACCACTTTGTCGCCTGACCTCAGGGGCTCACGAAACCCCACGGACAGCCCTAACCGGAACCTCCATCCTTCAGGCCCCCAGACCAGCCCAAGGAGCCACAGAGGGTAGAACTGGGGAGCAAAGCCTCCCCTCCTCACCACGCAGAGCCCCCTCCCTCCAGCCTGCACACTGAAAGCAAGCGGGAGTACTCACAGATGCCGGGACCACAGATCTGGAGCCCCAAGAAAGTCAGTCGAGATCCTGGGACCACAAGAGGAGAATCAGTGAGTGCCTGAGCTCAAAGATAAAGCTCAGACGTCGACAGACCTCATGTACGCCAACGTCACTGGGAGATGCAGTGACAGAAAACATCCCACGTACACAGCAATGACAACAGAACAGAAGATACCCAGGACTATGCTTAGGAGAACACCTGAGAACCTAAACCTGCCACGCGGGCCTGGAGGAGGACGGGTCTGGTTGGACAGGCACGCTGGGTCCTTGGGTAGGAGGGCCCGGCACTGCGAAGTGCTCACTGAGCCCTCCTGGGGGCCCAGCACCTGTGATCATGACTCACGGCGCAGCTGTGTGTCCAGGGTTCAAACCCTCAGCACTGCGGACATCTGGGGAGGGGAACTCTTTGTTGCGGGGGGCGGGGGCTGTCCTGTCCATTGTGGGGCGTTTAGCAGTACCCCTGGCCTTGACCCAGTAAGATTCCAGTAGCACGCCCCTTTGACAGTCATGCTCACCAAACACGTCTCCAGATCTTGCCAAATATGCCCTGGGGAGCAAGATCGTCCCCCACTGAAAACCCCTGCTGTGTTCGCTGAGCCCTGGTCCCGGGCCATTTGTCAAGGTCCTTGGGCACCCATGACAGCACAGGGGTGCGGGGCGGGGGGGGACCCGGCGTAACCATTTCGCACCCTCACGGAGTAGACGCGCTATTCTGGAGACGAACATCAGGAAAAAAATGTGTCTATCTCGAGTTGAGCAGCGTGTGATGCTCTTGAGGGCAGGGTCCTGTGACATGAGGACAGAGGAAGTCCAGGCACGAACCGGCCCCCTGCCACCCAGATTCTAGATGTGGAAAGTGTGCCACGAGCATCAAAAGGCTGCAGCGTCCTTGGGCCCGGGGCCGATCCCAGCACAGCAGGACGCTAGGGTGGAGGAGTTCCTGTCCCATACTCACCCCACGTGCCCCAGGGGCCCACAGACGGTGCCCGCACACGGATCGGTGCGAATGCCAGAAATAGTTTCCATTAACAAAGAAGACATTATTCGAACCGTTGTTGGAAGGATTGCACTGCATCTCAGGAGACCTGAGTTCGTACCCCATTCTGTCTCTGGCCCACTGTGACCTTAGGCACGATCTCTGTGTGGCTTGGGTGCAGACTGTCAGCGGGCCGACCCGTCACAGCCTCCTAGCCTGTGTTCTGGAGGAGGGGCTATCTTCCGAGCAGTGAGCAGCAGTGGGCTGAGCTGGAGCCTTTGTGGGGTCTGCCAGTTTCCAGGGTGTAAATTCTCCCACGACGGCGGATTCTGAGCAGATTTATAAAATGCCTGAGAATGTAGAAATCAGCCTTCATGAGCTGGGATGGGCCGGCTTCAGCCCACAGGTGATGGGTGGTATGAACACTGTTCTGTGGGGAGAGGTCACCCCCTCTTCTTAGTGAGAAGAGGCCAGGACAGGCCTGCCTGTAGGCACCGCAGGCTCTGCCCACTTCCAGCAAAGCGGGGAAGAGGGAGCGAGATGTGGGCTTGGACAGGGTCAGGAGAGGGGAGACGGGGCACTGGAGCCGGGAGGGAAGCAGAGCTGGGGGGCAGCAGGGGAAAGTCTGGGGCCTGGGCAGACTGTTCGATCCTGGGATCCCTCCGAGGCTGCGTCTCCTTTGAGCTCCCCACCCGGCCAGCGACTCTGGAGCCTGGACCATGCCTGGAGGGGGCCTCACGCCTTGTCTCTCCAGCCTCCCTGTTCAATGGGATGCTTCTGCCTCTTCTGACCCCATTGGCTCTGCCACACGAGGAAGCCACACAAAGCCAGCACACCGTGCCACTGAGATTTGCAGGCGGGCATCCAACTATTAAGTCGGACTGAAGTTTTAGAGACGTAGGGGATTTTAAAGATGCTCCATCACAAGTGTAACCAGAATCCAGCCATGTCAAAAGATGTTTGTAAGTTGCTGCAGAACATTTCCAGAGTCGTTAGCTTTTCACCTGTTTGCTTCCAAGCAAATGCCACTTCCAACTGTTGAGGACCGTTTGCTCCTAAAACTTAAGCCCCACAAAAATAAGCTAAGAATCTCACACACACACACACACACACACACACACACACACACACACACACCTACTTAGTGAAGCCTGTAAGCAAAGAAGTTCCCTAAGAAGTCATTTGAAAAATGATCTGGAAATGTCAGATTTCTCCTCTCTGCAAAAGTGTATTTCTTTCAACTCTGAACTCAGTATCTTTCACTGCATGCCATCCATAATGAGGTAACAATTCCTTAGTGCAATAAACCAAAGTATTTTCCAAAGAAGCCATAGCACAAAACCAACATAAACCCCAATGGAGAAATGCCTGTGAAGAGCTCGCTGCAGGGAGAGCCCGCAAAACGCCTCCCAGAAGGACAGCCCAGTTGAGTTTAGTGATTGATTTTGGAAAATGCGCGTTTTATTTGCCCTTGGGGATCCTTGGACCACTTTGCCGTCCTTGATCTGGGAACAGCTAGGAAGGGCTGAGTGTGTGCCCTGGTTCACTTCATGGTTAAACACTGGGGCCCCCAGCGCATTATCCGGGAGAACTATAACCAGTCTTGAGGAAAGGTGAGGAAACGCCAAATACGTCATTTCCAATCTGCTTCTCAAACCCGTGGTCTCTGGGGCATCACCCGGGAGCTTGTTAGAAATGCAGAGGCTCTGGCCCCTCACTGGCCCACTGGACCAGAAGCTGCATTTTAGCACCGTCCCCGGGGGGTCTGCATGCCCGCCAGTGAGGAGCAGTGCTGTTTGCCTTGCCGTGTGTATAATGCGAAGCGCCCTCACAGATGAAGAAGGGGAAAGCAGGGAGCGGACCTAGCGACGGTGAGGACATACCGTCTTGTTATAGGAATCTGCTACCTGCATCCCCCAGGGGTCCTGGGGACAGAACCGCAGGCTCAGACCCTGCCCTGGAGGAGCTCCCGCCGTGGGCAGGTGGGTGGGACGGTGAGCGGGGAGCGGAGTATGGCAGGTGCCGCCCAGAAAAACGCACCACCTGTTCCTCGTTCAGACCGGACTGAGCCCCTTCCCCTGAGTGTAATGGCTTATCATGTATCTCACAGCTGTTTTTATTGTGGTAATAAACCTACTGGCGCTCAGTTATAATCCTCCTTATGTTATCAACATACCCTGCGACTGTCAAAGTTCATAACTTTGTGGCACGATGAAAAACATTTATCCTGCATCTGCAAAAGGCAATAAAACCCAGTAATGTCGTATAACCTATTTTACACACTCTCACAAACCCAAATTCTAGGCACCCGTTTTCCAATCTATTTTACTCGGCAGATGTGTTCCGGGTCGCTGCTGGATAAAATGGACCTGAGTGGACTGAGGCGGACGGTGGCGGCCACAGCCAAGCGAAGGCTTATTCCTTGGAGGTCGTGTGGTTAAGTACATTCCTGCTTCATCTCATGGAATCCTCAGGGCCACTCTGACATCACCTAACACTCAGGGACCGTCAGGAAGCCGGCCGGCTGGGAGGCTGGGCACCTGGACGCATCAGCTCGAGGGTCCTGACTGCTGTGACCCTGAGACGTGTCAAAGGGACTCCAAGCCGGGGGTTCTCGAAGTGTGGTCCCTAGGCCAGCAGCACCTGCATGCCCTGAGGGCTTGTTACAAACGCACCCACGGAGGTCCCAGCCCAGACTCAGGGGATCAGACACTCTGGGGTGGAGCCCAGGAATCTGTGCTTAACAGGCCCGCCGGGTGATTCTGGTGCTCGCCCGAGTGTGAGCCGCTGCTGTAGAAAAAAAAACCTGCTTTGTAAAGGAATCCCACTGCAAACCCCTTACAGAGATGGCCCCTTGAAGTCGCGGACCAGGTGCTGCTGTCAGTTTTGCTCAAAGGCAAGACCCCGATATGACGGGAAGATGGTCCCGTGACTTTATTTAGACTCATACACATGTGTGCATTCATGCACTTGCGGGTCTATATACATATTTGTTTCTTCTTATAATTTCGGGGAAGAATAGCAGGTTCTTCACTGCGCAGAAGTTCCCAGGCCAGTCTGAGGCTCTGCATGGCAGTAGCCCCATCCCCACGGCAGCTCCTGGGACCCCATCCTCAAGGGGGCCTCTGGCTGTTTGCGGCTTTGCCCAGAGGCTCGCTATGAGCTCTGAGCCTAAGTTCTTGCCGCCGAGTCCAGATGTGGGAGGAAACCACACCATTTGCCCACAGGCAACAGGGGAGCTTCAGTGGCCACATGGCGTGGGCCCCTCTGCCCTCGGTGGCCTGCTCTGCTCTCACGTGGCTGTGACAGAAGCGACAGGCCTCCTGGGTGGGACGTGGGGCTGCCCGGGCGGGACGCTGAGCAAACCACCGTACTCCCTCTGGTTTGCCCCTGGGTAAAATCCAAAGTACAGGGAAGCTGGAGGCATGGGTAGGGTGTCACTTGAAAGTCACTCTCTCCTCCTCCCAGTGGCCGGGAAAGAGGACCACGGGACAGATGTGCACCCGGGGATGGGGCCCGGGGAACAGAGAGGGGCCCCAGGAGTGCACAAACAGCCCGACTCGGGGCTGGACCCGAGGGTGCAGCATGCACAGATGGGCTCACAAAACCAGCAACTCTTCCCCAGACTCCCCCTCCCAGAAGTGTTCCTTCAGCATTCACTGGTGAGAGTCTGCACGTGCCAGGCTCTGTGCCAAAGGCTAGGTACCAGTGGCTGAGCTGGATGGCTTCCACTTGCCTCTCTGTCCCCAGGCTGAGCCATGTGGACACATCACCCAGGCTCCTGCACCCTCGGGCCGATGGGGAGCCCGGGGGCGATGGCATGAAGGAGGACGATGGAGTTGGGGTATCTGTTTCCACAGCTCACTCCCTTGCAAGGTTTCCCTCATCTTTGTAAATAGTTCCTTTCAAGCTACCCTCGGGGCCGGGGAGGAGGGGGGGGGTCTTTCCTGCCACAACCTTGTAATCAGTTCAAGAGTGGCTCAAGAAACAGCTCCTCGCATTATCGGATCCTGGATTACTCACACGTGCAACACGTATGTGGTCACCTCCTTGCCGGTTCGGAGAGGATGTAGGTCGCCCACGGCGTGCAGTAACGTCCCTATCGCTCACATTCGCACGGCTGATGGCAAGGGATGGGGGCATCCCCAGCTGCGGCTCTCCGTTACCATAACTACTGGTAATGACACAGACTGCACGTCCCCTGGCCTCTCAGGGCCCTGGAGGCACACACCCCAGGAAAGAGAAACGCAGAACTGTGGACATACAAATGAGAGCAAGCGCGGGGAGTCAGTGGTGCTCCTCCTGTGATCACTGGGCAGATGAGCTGAGGACCAAGCATGGGTCTGCTTGTAAGGGAGGCAGAGCTGAGGGCCAATTAAAATGCTCAACTCAGGGCAGCTGGGTGGCTCAGATGGTTAAGCGTCTGCCTTCGGCTCAGGTCATGATCCCAGGGTCCTGGGTTCGAGTCCCGCATCGGGCTCCCTGCTAGGCGGGGAGCCTACTTCTCCCTCTGCCTCTGCCTCTCTCTCTCTCTCTTTCATGAATAAATAAATAAATAAACATTAAAAAAAATAAAATAAAATAAAATGCTCAACTCCAGGAGAGAGTGCTGGAGAAAGGGAGTGAGAAGTGGAGAGACACACAGTGGAGACATTTGGGTGGAATCGGATGAGAGGCTGAAGATTGGGAACTGCAAATTCCCCTGCAGCCGCAGGCCTGCAAAGGAGCATCCCCTCCCCTCTCTCCTCTCCCGCCCTTTCCCTCTCCTCCTCTCCCTCCTCCCTTTCTCCTCCACTCCTCGCCCCTGCCCTCCCCCAAGGAAGGGAACCACCTTTCTCTGCTACAGAAGCCTTCCTACACCTGCTCCTGGGCGAGTTGCCTCAGATCCGATGCTAGTTCTCTGGACACCCACCACCTCTCATCGCTCCGGTCAGAGAAGAGTTGAGACCAAGGGAGCCCAGGTTGGGGGGGCACAGACCTTTCCAGGAGGGAGCTGCCCGCACAGGGGAGGACTGCGGGTCCCCCAGCAGCCCAGCAGGAACCCGGGAGCAAGTGCCAGACCAACTGGGATGGCGTAAGTCGAGATTTTTTCAAGTGTTTGACGTAGCTGCCCTGGCCTGGGATTTACACGTTGACTTAAGCCCCAAAGGGGCGGTTAATAAGTCCCCAGATTGACTACTTGAAGCCTGAACAAGGGTGGTGTAGAATTAATGAGGTGAAACCGTCTGGGGTCCCGGCCTGCTATACAGGACAGAAGTCAAAGGCTCTGGGACACAGAAGTGTTCTTTGCGAGTGACTCAGCCACGTCCTCATCACAGCCTCTCCCCTGCGGGGCCCAGAGGACAAAATTGCATGGGCGTCCTTACAGAGCCCTGGGGGGCTGTCCTCTGCAGCCTAGAGGGGATGCTGGGGGGCACAGAGCTGGCGCTGAATTCCGATCTCAGCAGGAATAATGGGATCCCAGAGTGGGAGCAGCACCCAAGCATCAGGGACCAGGCGGGCCCCAACGCCTCGAGGAGGCACGCGGATGGCAAGACAACAGTGACTTGGCATGTGTGTTGTGGCTCCTTGCTCACGGGCGTCCCCGGACACGAAGGAGATGCCTACCAAGTGCTGTGTGACACGTTCAGGTATGAGAAGCCCTGGTCTGCTGACTCCTTCCCAGATCCCAGACCAAAGCCAGTTTTCTACACCCAGTCCTCACGTCTCCAGAGAGACACTTTACGATGTGCCCCCTTGAATTGCCCTGTTTTGAGAGTATCATCTGTGTCCTGCTGGGATCCCGATCTCAGAGGACCATGGGTCGGTGGGCCTTCTGTTCCTGTGGGGGCAGTGGTCATTACACAGGTCATTATAAAAATAAATCGGGAAGCTCTCCTTAGCAGAGGACAAAGGGACAAAGAAAAGCCACCCAAAGAGAGTCCAGGTAAAACGGAAACCCAAAATCAAAGTACATAGTGAAAGCTTCAGCTCGATTAGACGCTGTCTCGATAAAATAAAAGCTATGAACATAGGTTACCTTTACCTTGTATTTACCAAGATGCAAATTATGCAACACTGTAGCTGTGCCCCCCAAGACTTCATACCAACCTAACTAGAGTTGCAGCCTTCCCCAGTGGTGGGATTTCCAACCTCAGCCTGGAACTCCCTGACCGGCACTAGCCGGTGGCCAGCAGGATGAGACCCCCTGCCTTCCCACGGGAAGGTGACCTTGCCTGAAACCACTCTTCGTCTTTTGCTAATAATGCCCTTGTCCTGCCCATTTCTGCCTACAAAAGCCTTCCATTTTCTGCAACCCCTGGGAGCTCCCTTCCACTTGTCCAGTGGGATGCCGCCCCATACGTGAACCCCCAGTAAAGCCAATTAGATCTCTCCATTTACTCGGTTGAGGTTTTGTTCTTGGTCATCCTAAAACCCTGTCGTTTCTTAGGTGATAAGAGATATTTGGTTTATGACCCTGGTTCCTGACACGAAGCTCCTAACTCCCTTGGAATTTCCTGGGTGATAGGAGTGTCTCTTGTTCTAACAAGGTGGCTCAGGATGGCTCCCAGATGGCCCTACCTGCCCACCCAAAACTGAGACCAAACCAAACAGCAAGCAAGAAGTGGCATTCGTGTACCTGGCAGGAGAGAGAGCCCGGAGAGCCTGGATCCCTAGCTAGGGAGGGGGGCATAGACAGGCTCCAGGCCATCCCTTTGGGTTGAATGAGCAGGTGGAGGAGCTTGTCTGAGACAATGCCCCAAGAACCTCACCCAGGAAGGCAATCATGCAGGGAAGGATGTGGCCCCCAGGACGGCTCCAGCAGAGGGCCAAGGCCAAGGAGACAAAGCCACAGGGCTGGTGGGGGCCAGGGGACAGCCCCAGTGTTGGACATCCTGGAATATGAACTATTTCCACCTTGAGGTCAAGAGGAATGTTGTAATTGTTCCACTCATGACAAAGACATTTGGTGAACAGGACTCTGCCCTCCCCTGCATTACACGCAGCAGGTTCCACACCTGCTGAGCTCCTTCTGGACCCGGCCCTCCCGCGAATAACAGCTATGCACTCTGTGCAAGTTACAAAACAAGGCCCGGATGCCGGTGGAGAGGGGACAAAAGGCAGCCAGCTTCTAGAAGAGAGCCAACAGCTGCAGGAAAAGGTGGTGAGCATGACATCCATTCGTGTGGCTTCAGCCTGCAGCCGCTGCAACCGTGCAGAGCAACCTCAGCCCCAATGGCCCCTGCCTGGCCTGAAGGGCCAGAGGACTGGGTTCGGGGCAGACACAGCCCCGGAAAGTGAGCGGAGAATCCAAGAGCAGAAAAAGCCAGAAAGGAGGACACTCAAATCCTGCGGATACATCTGCCTGATTAGATTCACCAGACTGCAAAGTTCTGCTCATCAAGACTGTCAAGAAAACAAAGAGGCAAGCTGCGGACAGACAGAAAACATGCATCTGGGGAAGGACCCGTATCCAGAATAAAGATCTTTACAATCCAAAAAATAAGATAAGCCACTTAAAAACCAGAAAAGTATTTGAACAGACATTTCACAAAGGATGACGCATAAACATCCAAAAAGCACGTGCATTAACACTCAGTATCACTTGCCTTAGCTAGAAAGAGCAATATGGACACAACTGATGAAATTTGAATGAAGATGTGGGGACGGGGGAAATTCTAGCAAATCCTATCAATGTGAGATTTCCTGATTTTGCTAATTACATGGTGGTTCCGTAAGAGAATGCCCTTATTTTTATAAGATATACTCTGAAATATTTAGGCGTATCTTACACTCAAATGATTCTGAAAAAAGTAGTATCTGTTTACCATAGCCCTCCTCACCTGTGGTTCCGTTCTCCACAGTACAGTTACGGCAGTTGAGAGAAAAACCCTCTGAAGCTCTGAGCTACAACACCGATTTAGATTTCTTTCTAAGTCAGCATGACGGTACGTACACTTTGTTCAAACCAAAATCTGACTTCTGGCCCACCACCCATACATCGTGCACCTGCTTTGTGAATGAGTAATCTGAAGAACATCTTGTCCTTCAGATTCCCATCAATGCCCCTGCTCCCCACATTCCTTTACGATAAAACTCGTGATTCCTGTCTATATGCTAATCTGTAATCTCTTGGGCTCTCACAAGATGCAAAAAAAAAAAAAAAAAAGCATATAACTCCGTAAAAACTGTTCATTCTCCAGAGCACATTATTCCCTGTGAAGAGCTTGTTTCCTGGACAACTGTCCTAACTGGGCCTGAAGAAAACTCTTTCTTTTTTTAGAGATTCTAAAAGGTTTATTCATTTTGTGTCGACACAGTCAACCACCATCCAAAAGCAGATGATGTATCGTTGGAAGGTCAAAAGTAGCCTAACCCTAGGTCAGAAAATCTATGTCACTCACCTCACTCCACCTCATCACACGGGCATCTTACCTCCCGTCATCACAAGATGGGTGAGCTTAGGGCAATAATATACTGTGTGAGACAGAGACCACATTCATGCAACTTTCATCACGGGCTATATTGTTATAACTGTTCTATTTTATTATTAGTTACTGTTGCTAATCTCTTACAGTTCCTGATTTATAAATTAAACTTTATTACATGTATGTACGTATAGGAGAACACAAAGTCTATACGGAGCTCAGTACTACCCATGGTTTCAGGCATCCGCCAGGAGTCTGAGAACATACTGCCTGCAGATAGGGATGATTACGGAACTGCGAAAGTATGCTTATACACACATATACTGTTCTTTCTTTCTTTTTCATGCTCTCTTTCTAAAGCAAATGGAGCAAGATAGAAATGATTCCGGAGTCTGGGTAAAGCATATACAAGTTCCTTCTACTATTCTTGCAACTTTTCTGTAAGATTGAGATTACATAAAAATAAATTACAAAACATCAAAACCACTGGAGAATGTAATGAAATTTTCAAGGACTGATGGGGTTGTGTCAAAATGCCCAGAGGTGGGTATGAGGAGCTACCAGTGGCCAGAGCTGTCCGTTTAGGCACGATAAAGCCAAGGATCACAGTGGGTTGAAACACAGAGTCAATGAAAATCCATGAGTCCACGAGGACCGCCCAAAAAAGAGAGATCCAGGACAGACCAACGTGCCTGCATTTGGAGCATCCATTAAACTAACATCCTGCTGGGGCGCCTGGTGGCTCAGATGGTTGCGCGTCTGCCTTCGGCTCGGGTCATGGTCCCGGGGTCCCGGGATCGAGCCCCACATTGGGCTCCCTGCTCTGCGGGAAGCCTGCTTCTCCC